GTCCACATCATTCACAGCCATAGGCACACAAGACCCATAAAACATATTTGCAGCACATTTGTATTTGGCATTGGTAACATATCTTCATTTCAATGACGAATTCTGGGTCAAAGATGCAACTAAAATGCCATGTGGCAGGTCTTCCTTGTTCTGATTCAGAGCTGAGTGCAAAACTTGGTACCACCAATTTGAGGAGATGATCTGGATTCATAATTTGAATCAAAATCTTCACAGATAGCAGCTTAAGGGAGTTAATTGCAGGCAGTAATTGGAAAAAGATGTGGATTTCTATGAATTTGTGCTTCTAAAACTTTTTGAGATAATTGTTTTTCATTCTTTTACAGTATCCCTCAACTTGCAACTCTCCACTTTCATCATACACACAACACTCAACTTCTCCACCTGAAGAAATCCAGTTACTGGAAAATAGTACTTTAAAATCAATTATCAGTCAGTGTACAAATAGTCCATACGTGTCTAGCCTAGATAAGCACATGTTCTTACACTGAAATCTGTTTTGGTCAAAGATGATTTTTAGAAGTGATCAGATGTTTCCCAATGGTTTTGATACCTGAAGAGCTTCACGGTGCAGTAGCCCAAAAATATTTTCTGGATCTCTTATTAGCATTCTTGATGAGAAAAGGAAGTTACTACAACAAGGAAAAAAAACTCAAAACTATGCAGAAAATTACTGGAGCATGCAGTAATCCGTAATATTCAACCAAAGCTTAACAGAGGAAAATCATACTAGCATGATGAATTCAGAGCAATTAGAAATGAGATACCAAGATCAGAAAAGAGATATCCAATTAGGTGGCTCAAGATTAGACCAGAGGAAAGTATTTATCCTACAGGAAGCTCACAAACCGCATGCCAATCAAGGTAATTTTCAGCTGTAGGAAAATGCTACAATAGAAAATGTTTAAAATTAATATAGCAAAACGTTTATGTTTTTTAAATTTGTCATGAATATCTGCATGTGCCAATGAACTGACACAGCACAAATGATACAAGAAGGTTTTACTATCTTCATAATCTGTGAATCTATGCATATACCTAAAAGACAAAGTATGTTTCCAGATTTAATTCTGTAAGATGTCAGGGTGCCTGACTCCCTGGTTAAACCTTCCAGAAAGACATAGATGGCAGGAAATACTCTCAAAAGCCACCTGTGTACAAGCTCGCAAAGAATTTTTTGTTTTGTTTGTTTTTGTTTGTTGCATAGCAAGGGATCAACAGCTTAATTGAGCTCTTTCATTTAAAGTAGGAAAAAATACACAAAATGAAAACACATAACCCACAATATTTGACAGGACCAGTTTATATTTGTGATATCATCAGAACCATAAAGTGAAAAAAGAATTTTGCTCCTTCAGTTCTCCCCATCTTATAGGCACCTGATTGGTAAGACAACATAACAGCTACCTTAGCAGTCACAGTCTTCTTCTCATCTGCCTCTACATTACAACCATCACTCCTGTCATAACCATGGCATATCAGCTACAGATCTGCAGCTCATTTGTAAAACTGCTGTAAAAAAAAAAAAAAAAAAAAAACCACAACAAACTTGTAAAATTTTCCAATCTCAGCTTGCACTTTTTTGCCTCTTCACTTAATGGAGTATGAACACAAAGGGCTTAAAGCCTCTTTTCCTATTTCAAATACCTCTTTCATTTCAGGCAAAGATGCAGTTCACATCTGTCTGAAAGTCTCTTACCTTACAAAACAGTCTGTGCTCCACACTTTTTTAATTCGTTTTATACAACCTGCTTGGCACAGGGAGATGAAAGACAAGGGAATTTAAGTGGAAAAAAAAATTTTTAAAAACACCAAAAAATATACAAAACCATTATCTGTGCTCTAACGAGGAAACTGAACTCTCCTTCAGGGCACAAGTGGGATACAGGTAGTTCACAACATTATTTTTGACTACACAAGATCAGGTCTGGCCATCTGGGGGTGCCAGCACTGCCACTACTGTTACACCTCCCAGTAGTGCATTTCTATCATACAACAGTCACAGCAACACGGACTTTCTTGTTAAAGGCCACATTTTGCATGGCTGACGCTTTAGATCCTGATATAACAAAGCCTTTGATTGACAGCCTGTCCAAGGAGCAGTGCAAGAAAAATGAGTTTCAGGATGAAAATGGCTCTCTACTAAAGCTTCTAATCTTTCTATACAGGCAGTCTGGAAGCTTTCACTTGTGATTTACTTTCTTCCCATGTTCCAGTTAAGTAGAAAATGCCAACCTACAGCTGGCTACTTTTAAATGTAATTCCAGAAGAGGTACTGGAGTTCAACATCAACCCTCGTTCTCCCTATTAAAATTTCTTCAGCTGTGAAAAAAAAAAAAAAGCCAGTAACCAAATCAAAAAACAGTAACCAAAATCGTTTTTGCTGTCACTTCACAAATTCCACACCAAACAGGACAATTGAAATCTGAAGAATGGAACTCCTTCACTTTATCTTGTAGTGATCTCATGCTGTAGGAAGGGAAAAAGTAGCAAAGGGAAAAAAAAGTCTTGTACTGAACTATGGAAGGAAAACCTGCAGTTAACAGCACGTTAAGAAGGCAGGAAGGGTAAATTTTTAAAGGTAATGAGGGAATAATTTTTATTTTATTTTACTTTTTACAAAGACGAGGGAAATGTAGTTTATGTATTACACAAAGCCAAAGACTGAAAATGCAGAATTACAGAAACAAATGCTGAACAGAGGTTACAATATCCTGAACATCCTCATTGCTTCACACATCCAGGAAGGCAGTGAAATGTGTTTCCCACAGTAATGTCTATCAAGAAAATAAATACTAACACAAGTATAAATTATTCTTGATAAAATACTAATGAAAAAACCTCCATCTAAATAATTTTGCTTCACAGAAGGCAAAAGGGATGGCATCCCATGCATATCAATTTGCAATTGCTTCCTTCTCCATTAGAAGAATAAAATACATTTGGATTCAAAATACATAACCTTATCAGACTTAACTATTTGGAGCCTGACGTTATAATATTTAAGTACTTCAAGCAACTTCAGAATTGCCTTAATTTCACATACACTTACGAACAGATAAAAGCTACTGCATATATAATATCTCCTCATTCTCATCACATGATAACGAAAGACTTTGCGGCAGGAAATAAAGCCAACTCAGCCACATGCTAATATTGTTCTAGTCAGGGAAGAAGAAAGCCACTCAAATTTATTATTATTATTTATTTTTTTTTAATCTAAGTCCACTGGGTCATCATTCTACTCCTACTGAATTTTCTGTGAGCTGCAGCAACATAACTCAGTGCTGATAAAAACCAATGGCAGTTACAAATAAAACCTCACAGTGCGTTCTGTGAGCTGCCCCACTGGCATGGCAACAGCACACCATGCAAGGTGACAAGCAGCCTTGATAAGAGAACTCTGACATGGGTCAGACATGTAGTGCTCTGACAACCCAGAGCACTACACACACACAGGCTGTTTCCAGACTGAGCACACCCAAACGCATCTCCCTAGATTAAACTTTGCAGCCCTAAGGAGTAAACTGCTACACTGCAATAAAGTGAGCAATTATAACATTTGCTGTTTATTGTGGGGTAACCTGCAGATTCTAGGTACATCAGCGTGTACTTCTAATTATTTTAAGCTTTTGTTGTTACACAGTGAACCAAGAGAATTGCAATTAAACATGACAGTCAGCATCTGAAGACAGTCTAAAGATAGCAGTAAGTACCTTTTGTTCTAAGTGGCATAGGATATAATCTGTTACTGTCTCTCCAATGTGAATCAAAACTAATAAAATTTGACACAGCTGGGTTGGTTTACCACTTAAGACTATAAAGCTTATAAGCTTGCCACAAACATCTAGTACTCTCTTAACTGTTTGGGAACTCAAACAAGAAAAAGGAAACAAGATCAGCCTAGAATTTCATTCATCTCATTAAGTGACTTGTTATGTAACTCTGTTCAGTTACACAACTTGAAGTTATGAGTTCAAAAGAAGATCAGGAAGATAAATTCCAAAGGTTTGCATTGGTGCTACTTAAATGGCTGCTGTCAGAAACTTAACAGTGCAAGAAACAGTGTTGGCCAAAAAAAAGGAAAAATCACGCACAATAAACCAACCTTGCAGTAATAAAGTTATTTTACACATCATAAGAAGTTTTATGAGACCTTCTGACATCAAACACAGTAGAAGTCAGGTCTGCAAGACAGAGGAAGGAACCTCTGTAACATCTGAGTTAATATAACTAATTTAATCAGATCTGAGTTTTCACAAAGTCACCTACATGTCTTCCAGTTCACAGCACTAGCTAGGAGCAGCTGATCATTCCATAATATTCCATGTGGATAACATGGATATTGTCAAAAGACTAAGAATACAGGAATTCATTCTTCTACCAGCAAATTATGATAACTTCTAAAGCTGTGGAGACTTCTTGAACCCATCTCATACCCAGTTCATTACAGTGAACAGGACCACAATGATGCACCACGCTCTCTCTGTATTCCTTCCTATCCCTTTCACCTCCAAGCATATAACTTCCCATGAAGAAAAGCATTTTAGTAATAGAATATTATAAAAATAGAGAAGAAAGAAAAAGATTTGGTAGATCTAGTACTTGCAAGATATTAACTCATACTTGTCAAAACTACTTTGGTCAAACACACTCTGCCACATTTCATATTTCAGTGGAATATAACAGTATATTCTATACAAGCACTGGATGCACAGAGGCCTGCATTAAGAAACAGGTATCACTGTTTCTTTAACTGTTTTCTTTAACCCTGTATAATATTTCACTCTACTGATAGTCCTGCTACAGCTCTCAAGTGGTTCTCAAGATAAGGAGAGGGAAATTTGTGGCAGTGGTGATTGAAGACATAAGCACCCCTCTAGCAAAAATCAAGCTCACCATCTAACAAATAAAGAGTCATTCCAAAACATAGACACAATACAGCTTTTCACAAAAGAAATGCTGCATCTGAATGAACTTACAAGAAGAGTGGATACTTGGAAAGCTTTTCCTGCCTTCAGACACCAGATCTGGATCACCTGTGCAGTGCATTTCAGAGTTCATTACTCCATCTGGAAAGCAGCGGTAAAAGAAATCGGGACGCGGTCTACAAAAAACACCATGGATATTAAAAATATAAATGCTGTAGTAACACATAAACCTCAAAGCGATTATTACATTCACTGCCTATTTCATATTGAGTATGTTTCTTCCTGCTTTTAACACAGAAGTAGAAATGTTTCGTTTTTCTGAAATAATCAATTTAAGGCAAATTTTTTGCAGGCAGGCTCCCTCAGGGAGTCCTCCAGCACAGAAGTTGTAGCCTGTCTCTCCCCACAGCATGTTTCATTTGAAAGAGCACGCAGGATCTCAGCTCTGAAAATGAGCATGTAAGGCTGCACCTCCCGACAGCAATCAGTCATGCATAACACTTCCAGGGACAGAGAAAAGTAGTGTAGAAACCCCAGAAAGTCGCACAGGTCACACTGAGGTTTGGTTGAGAACAGGACAGCTTATGTTATGAAACTGTGGCCAGAACAACAACCAATTCCTATTGCCAGCCCCCGTGCTGCCTCTGTGTATACACTGAACAAACCCAGATTCTTTTGCCCTGCTCGGAGCTGAGCAGTAGCACGTAGGTTTGGCTGGTATCACAGTGGCTGAGCTAATAAACCTTGCAGGAAGCAAGGTGAACGACCACATTCGCAGACAAGCTGACAGAGCAGCTAGCTGCCTTGAAGTGCAGGCAAAATGAGCTCACGTCTGCCTGAAGAAGATGTTGCAGACATTCTTAATTATATTGCAAAAGCACTCCTTAAAATAAAAGTGCCAAGTACTGTTATTGTCAGGGCATGAGCTCTGTAGCAGAGAGGGTCCATCAGGCACCAAGCACAAATACTTAATGCTGCAACACAGCTGAAGCTAATCAGTTAAACGATGTACAAATTCAAGTCAGTTATATGCCTTTCAGGAGAATTTTGATAAAGAGCCAAAAACTACTTGAAAATTATTTTCCAGAAAATTTGCTTGCTACTGTTTTTTTTTTTATTCCTTCATTCAAATTTACACTTAAAGAATGGCCTACCAAGGAACGTGCTCACTGCTCAGCTCTAAGCTCTGCTGTTACCACACTGAGCAGAATACTTCAGAATACTTCATATAAAATGCAGGCAGTGGTCGAGGCTCAATTGATTTCTGTTCCAGCAGACTAGTGGCACTAGCATGTAAACTCCCACATACTGTGACCCTTCTGCGTTACCAACCTAATGAACTGGTGTATCCTCACATCTTTCCTTTCAGACTCCTCATTTGTCTGGATCCACCAATTGATCAAACAAATAACACAACACAAGGGTACACATTCCCATCACAGTTGGATGTCACATAATAAAGTTATACAATACCTGTACCAGGGCAAGGACAGTTTTCCAGAGGCCCCTGCTAACTCGATATGCTTTGGAGCAGCAGTTATATTTTTATTAAGATGTATTGTACCTGACAACTCTTTCTTAGTTTCTTTAAAAGTTAAAGCCATCATTTATAATATGACAAGACTTACCTTCCCACTATTAATTTAATAGTATTTGTGCAGACTCCATTCAGAGCTAGAGCCAAGGAAACAGCTACAAAACAGAATGAAAAAAAACAAAACACAACAGAACAATAGCAACATAAATACCAAGCTATATACTGTAGCATTCCAGCATTTGATTTACAGACTGAAACCATCAGTGAACTGAAAACTGAATGAGCTCTGAAGCCAACTGTATTTTTTCTGAATTACCCATACTTAGGGTAGACCCCAAAGAATCACTTTCTTTGTTCTGCTTTTATTCTTCAAAACCTGATTTTCCTATCATGCCATCTGCACAGACACAAACCATCAATTAGTAACAATAATTAGAGAATCAATCCTGTGTTTATCACTTTTGTAATTTACCAAATTAAAATCTTATGCTCTTTTGGTAAAGAATTCCTGTATATACCTCTTCTAAAGTTATGTATACATAAATAAAAACACATGACTGTTCTAAACAGTCTTCCACTTGCAGCACCTATGCTCACAGTGACTACTTAGGCCCATGCTCTTTTTCCTCTTAATTGGTTTTCTCTTGGTTATTTATAGTGATCACATATCATGAGAAACATGCAAAATGCCAAAAAATCAAATGCATATGAACAGCTTTGTCACAGCACATCCTCTATTTTAAAAATGGGTAAATGCACAGACACCTGCTATCCAAGACATGTTTTCATGTCTTTTCATTAAGCCATTGTTTATGACATGTCTGAATGAACCAGACTTCTTCCATTGTTGCATATCATTTACAATGGCAATCTAATCATCAGATGTCTGTGTGAAGCTGGTAAAAAAAAAATTACATCTACCCTCACTTTATTTACTTCAGGAAAAATTCACACTGCCCACCCATAAGGTGCACAACTGTGTCAAGAAGGCACTTCAAGAGAAAAGATTAATGGCACCTATAGCAGGAAGCTAACTGCTGCTTAGCCTCAGTACATTGGATTATCTTTCTTATACTAACCCACATGATGAGCAAAGCATTTTCACATCCTTTTAACCATTCATTCCTAAAGAAATTCACCTTTTGAGGGATTTCTTGTTCATTCATTATGGATGTTATGTGCTAGATCTCAGTACAAATTAGCAAGGCTATCAATTAAAGAATCTTCCTATCAGCCTCACATCACCAGATGCATCAAATTTGGTGAATGAAAACACTGAATCAAATCAATGTTCAGTACACTTGAGCATAATTAAGCCACAAGGAGCTCTACATCTATGGCACTCGTTGAACAGGGATACCTTGCAGAACCATCAAGGTTGGTGCTTCCTTAAAGTGAGAATAGCAGAGAACATGGACCTGAGAACAGAGATTTCTCAGGGGTTCTATAGAGGGAATCATAACAGAAGACAACAACAGAAGGAAAAAAAAAACAACAAACAAAAGCCTCTTCTAAAAAAGTGAGAAAAAAATGATGAAGAAATTAATCCAAAGCTCCTTTTCTTCACACACCACAGAAAGTGAAACTCAGCACTGTTACCATACATGATTTGTTATTCAAGCTTATTTCAGCTCAATAGACTTGACAGTAAAACATCACTATAAGTCATTTCAGAATTTACTACAAATGACTGTTGGAAACCAAATCAAAAGTAGGATCTTCTCACACTTGTGCTAAAGCACCTGGAGAAAGAACAAGCTGATAAAATTCTGGTCTTTGCTAGCTAGGCTTTGTAAGAAAAGCACAGAATCCACACATTTAGAAGCATACAAAAAAAATCAGAGATTGCAACGAGGTTTGCAGCTACAGCTGCATTGAAACCTACTGTAATGGACTGCAATGGAGACAGGCTTTCTTCATGACTCAAACTACAACTGGAATTGATCTCTGAGGAACATCACACAACTTCCATCTTGAAATATGACATACGTTACCTAAGAAAGCCTCCTTAATCTCAGTCTTGTCCGTCCGCCGGATTATTTTCACCACAAAAATGACTGCCAGTGGCGTTAAGAATGAAATTGCCTGTAAGAGGTAACAAATATTGTGTGTAAGCATCGATTACTTTTCAGTCCAACTGACTAGTAATTAGTTCCAGTTAGCTCCATTTAAGCAGGAAGGCTGAATGATCATCAAACTCTTGACCTCAAGCAAAGTGGGATGATTCGTCTTTGCAACTACAGGACAACGAATACATTAAAACTGTAATAAGATTTTGAGCTATAATTGATTTGCAATTGCCTGGAGCTACATTTAAAGTGTTAGCTTCATAAATGAAAAAAGCAACCAACTCTCAATTCTCTGAATTCCCCTTAATTAACACTCTGATCCATAGAGAACCTGCATGTTCTTCCACACTAAGTATTGCTTCAGGAGGCAGTTCAACCAGTCTGTGCTCTCCACAAGACCCTATGCAATCCAACACCGTATTTGATTTTCTGAAGAGCATCTCCATCAGCACAGAACAATTTGGACTATAGTTGATGACTGACATTAAACGTGTCGGTTAACTCTAAAGCATCCCACTCAGTGCAGTGCTAATACATTACAGGCTATCCTCCCATCCCAGCTTTCTCTAGGAACACAAACCAGTTTCTCTCAACTATAATACCAAGGAATTTATCATTAGTAGCTTCCCATTTAAACCCTGACTTTGTTTCTAGCTAGCCCTTTCATGATTTGTGTCTCAGACCTTCAACCACAGAGGCAAAAGACAGCCTGGTAGGCAAAATTCCTGTCTGAAATCTACAAACCTCTTCACAATCACATTTCTTTAAAAGCAAATCAAGGTCCTTCTAAAACCTTCTAGCACTTATAGGAAAGTGAAAATGACACTTTTAAATAAGGCAAAAAGTAAGTTGTACGTGGCACTTGGGGGGGAACCAAAGCCCAACTAAAATTATCCTGTCTTCACTGAGACTGAACCACAACTTCCTTCCCCACTGAAATATAAAACAGAGACATTGATTCAGAACACAATCAAAGATCTGCAATTCCTTTCTTCCTTTTATGATACAGATTAATCCTAATCCTCATCTTACACTTTTCATGTTGATTCATACTCAGCACTCAGCATTTATTACTTTGGTAGCGAATCTTGGACAAGATTCCCCTCACCTGCATCTGCAGAACATTATCTAAGACTGTGAGCCATGCAATTTTTTTTTTTTTTTTTTTTTACATTTAGAAAGAAAGCCACATATTTTCGCAAGAAAAAAAAAAACCAACATAATTTTCACTTGAAACTCACACAGCCTGGAGACAGAAGGGAGCTTTAACCTAAGTTATGCTACTTCAGAAACATTCATTTCTTCCTACACTCAGCAATAGCTCAATATCTGCTTTCAGAGGCAAGGAGTAAAACAAAAATTATTAAAGCAGATCCTAGAATTGTTAGTTTTACTCAAAAAAGTAAGGACTGCCACCAGGAAAGAAAAGAAGAAAAATATCCCCATTTCATTGTTGAAGAACACGTCATAATACAGACAGGCTGACAGGCCTGTAGATGTGGCTTAATGGACTTAGAAATCTTTGGAACAAGCTGGAGCAGCAAAAAGTCAGCGAAGAATAGAATTCAAGTAGCAACTTGTTTCAAGACACTTCACAATCAGTCTTTGGAAATCTAGTAAAACTACAGAATTCCCCATATTTTACAAGCATATGGATCTTGTAGAGAGATAAAGAACTAGATGCTGTTCCTAGCACAAAAGCATTAGCTGAAGGGTTTTTTGTTGTTGTTGTTGTTTTTTCCTGTTCTGCAACAAAATGTGCACAAAGTTTTGGCTTACCAAAAGGATTCCTTTTCCTTTATTTTGTAAAATGATTCTGTATGGCTCATATCCATAACAGATTTAGGAGCAGCCTGATGAGTAACACTAACCTCAGATACATTTCTGTAAGGTTTTATTTTCTAGCAGTGAAATATTCTGACACATTTCCTCGCTTTGCTGAACCACAGACAAAAAGCCCATCCATCTCATTCGTTATTCATCCCAGCGAGCCAAAGATACGCTACAGTTACATCCCACGGAGAAGCATTCCATCTACTTCGATAAAACCCACTTCCACATACTGCATCATTTGCACATGGAACAGCAGTGATATACAATACTGTTTTGCTTCAGGATCTCATAGGATTTTTCAGTGGCCTTCTCAGAGCCCTCCTGAGAACAGCATGGCAGAAGAAATCCCACTTTTCAAGGGAATCTCGCACACCACTCTTGGCAAACTGCATAGAAAGTTGTGACTGGATAGTACCAAATGTGACTGCTGTGCCTGACATTTCATACTACTCCAGTACTATCCCCCATGGGATACAGAGCTGTGGTGTGAGCCTCATTCTACATGAAAATCCAGCGAGTTCTTTTGCCTTAGGACTACTGCAGTGTAGCAAGAAGAAAGTGGTGCACCAATACAGGATGGTAGTTTGGAGATGGACAGTGGAAATCATAAGACACTGGCATTTGTCACGCTGGTCAAAGCATTAGGCTCAGACCTATTTTCCTATTCAGTCCTACTGTGCATTTTCTTTTGCTGTTCTTTCCTTTCTCTTGCCAGCACTTTGCAAGCTATCTGCAAAGCCTGTATCATCAAAGGATGGAAAGGAAAAGAAGAATAAGAGGCAGGCCATCCGTTTTTTTTCTCATTTTCCTGGTGACGCATTTACATTTTCCCAACAGGGTCCTGGAACAAACCAGAGCTGATGCAAGGTCAGATGAAGGTGGATAAGGCAGAGGCTCCAAGCCTTGTATCTGGAGAGCGGTGAAAACAGAAAGCACTTTCACTGGGAAGAAGGGAAGCCAAAAGCATAGAGCACCTTCCATGTTCTTGCTTAAGTTAAAGAATGGCAAGTGTTTTTAATATAAATATAAGCACTTCATTTCCTTCTGGCTGAAGACACTCTGAGGCAGGGGCTTCCTCATACTTCCATGCATCAAGAGTAGTTACCAGTACCTTGCACTTTACAAGACAAGGAATATTCAATACTACACAGACAGAACAAGGCTCAGGTCTTCAAGTTCTCATGACTTGCCTGATGATGAAGCTGACCTCTGATTGGTAAGTATCAGAATTTAGAGTATTCACAACATTTATCTTAAATGCAAAGCTCTGAGCATATTAAAAAAAAAAACATAAGTTCATAAATAAGATCTAAGAAATTGCCTTCTGTTAAGCCATAGCAATATATTTTAATGCTGGAGTATAACACTAGTAGCAATAAATTCCATACATAATGAGAGCTTGTGATCACTGTTATGGTTGGACTTTTCTTCTTTCTTCTTCTTTAATTAATGAAAGAAGTGCAAACCATATAGAAGTGTTCTGTGGTTCTTGTTTTAAGAAGCTGTTCACTGAGATACTGCTGTGGTCTGAGCCAGAAAGAAAGAACACAGATTTCAGAAAAGTTACTGACACAGATCCCTGGAAGTTCCAGCTGCCATAAAGTACACCAAGAGCTGGCTCTGTGTGAAGCTGGTGACAAGCCTAAGTGCTATGCTTACATCTCAGAATTATGCTTCCCAGTGGATCTGCTTAGAGTACAGAGAAAGGACTAATAATTACTCCAACCAGTTTCAAAAATAGTTTCATCACCAAAGAAATCTCTTGTACAGTAATTCACTTTTGCTCCTTAAAGCCTTTAGTTATAAACAGAGATCAGACAAACCACGCAGCAAGGTAATACTCAGCCTAAGAGAAAATAGCAAAATTAAACTCGGAATCTGTCTTTTCATAGCACAATGATTTCATGTTTCATTTTGGTTGCTGTTGTTTTAAACAGGTGTCTTCCATTCCAGAAAAAATAACAATAATTCATCCCTCTAGGCTGAAAAAGTACTTAATGGAGCTGATTCTCAGTGCAATATAAATAAGTCAGTGAACCTAAAATCTGGTCTTCAGCCACTGTCTTAGAAGGCCGAAATACATTGTTGCCTCATAAACAGGAAACATGTTTAATTAACACATTCCATAACTGAAGGCTTAAAAAATAAATAAATAAAAAGGCAAGTTACATACCTGATTTGTGTTTATTCTGAATTCAGGTACTTCGTCTGAACAGTAAAACCCTGGCTTTACTGAAATCATTTAAACACAAGGATGCTAGGATTTGACCTCATCTGCCATGCCCCGTCCTGAAAAATGTGGACTGAAGAAGCTTTTCCAGACAGACCTGGTTGTTTTAATAGCCAAACTATATCCCCTAATTTCTTAGCATTTATTCACTGGTCTATCTTACTACTCTCTTATACATAGCCTATTTGATAGTTAATCAATATTGCTAGTGAAACTTACCAAACTCATGAATTTTGATAACCAGACCAACAGTAGAAATCAGTCAGTCAGTCTGCATGTCAGCATGAGCCACGCTGGGGGGCACCAGAAGAACAGTAGCAGCAATATTGTGCATTTAATGCACTCCTGGTACCTCAGGACTGTTAGCAGATGCCAAAACAAAGGTTTTGTCCACAGTATTTGGAAACAAATAACTCAGTGCCTAATACGCCTAAAGCAAATTGGATTCCAAAATTCAAGCACTTAACCTAATAAGAGCACTTAACCTAATAACGAGGTTTAGTGAGGTCACACAACCAGCTAATTCTAAAAGCTTCTCTAATTGTTTCTCTAGAATCTCTCTACTTAACACTAGTTTAAATCTTAATCTTAAGACTCAACATTCCTAAATTCCATCAATCTGGTATTACTGGTTTTTAGACACTCTCCACAATTCACCATATTTAGCTAGTCAGGACATTCCTGTTTTAGAAAATAATGGTCATTAGAATTAAAGGAAAAAACTGTTCTTATGAAAGGTTTCTCACTGCTTATCAAACAGTAGTGGATTTAGTTTACAGCTATCAAACGATCATGAAATGCAGTACTTACAAACATAAGACGAGTAGGTATGTTGTCTGATTGCACCAAAGGATTTTTATACAGCCAGATCTCTTCCGGCTGGATAACCCGCTGGAATGGATCCAAAAATTCTGTAAAACTGAAAATAACAATTGAAGATACATATATATTTTTTTAAAAATTAGAAATGAAAAAATTAGGAAAAAAAAAAACAGAAAACTTATGATCATTTAAAACCTTACCTTGCATTAATTACGATATAGCGTGCATTAATTAATTTTATAATACACTCCTATCCTACATCAATGCTTTTTAAAACCTTCATTGATACAGGAAAATGGTTTTTAAAAGTCTATATTCTACAACTTTAAAGAAGTTCCATTATCCCATTATATTCCTGTGGGACAAGTGTGCAAAGTATGGTGGAAGTAGAAAAATCACGTGCAGCAGATGTTTTACACTGAAGAAATTACGTACCAGTTACCAAAGACAAAGGGCATTTCAAACTGCAATGGTAACAGCACTGGTGGACAAGAAAAGAGGAAGCAAAGTCATCTGCCTCAACCTGTGGAAGGCCTTTAATGCAGTCCCACACAACAATCTTGTCTCTAAGCTGTATGATGAAAAGAAACCGGTTGGCTGGAAGCCACATTCAAAGAGCTGTGGTCAACAGTTTGATGTCTAGGTAGAGAGCAGTGATGAGTGATGTCCTTCAAGGGTCCACATTGGGACCAGAACCATTTAATATCGTCAGTCATTACATATATGGCAGGATTGAGTATACCTCAGGAAGTACTAAGTTCGTGGTGCAGATAACACTTAAGTGGGAAGAAATGTCACCCAGAAGGACCTTGACAAGTTTCAGAAGCAGGCCTCTGCAAACCATGTGAAATTCAACAGGGCCAAGTGCAAGGTCAAGGCAATCCCCAAACATCTGTACACTGAGTGATAAATGGATTACTTTGCAGGGAAGGACTTGGAGGTGTTCAGTATTTCATCCACCAATACAAGCCAGCAGTGTACACTTGCAGCCCAGAAAGCCAATCATATCATGGGCTGCATTTTGATGAAGATCTTTGCTCTTTTAAGAAAAATGATCAGAGGGTGAGGGAGGTGATTCTCTGCTTCTACTTTGCTCTCATGAAACCCCATCTGCAGCTCTGCATTCAGTTCTGGGTCCACCAATACCAATGGATATTTTACAGCAGGTCCAAAGACAGGAGACAGTCTCCAGCCTTACAAGGCAGGCTGAAGGTACTGAAGTTATTTAGCCTAAAGAAAAAAAAGAAATTATCTATTGGCATTCCAATACTTAAATTGGACCTACAAGAAAAATGGAGAGACATTCTTCACCAGGGTGTGCAGTAATAGACAAGAAAATGTTTTTAAACTAAAAGAAGATAGATTTAGAATTGAGATAAGAAAAAAATCTTTACTAGGAGGGTGCTGAGGCACTGGCATAGGCTGCCCAGAAGCTGTGGGTGCCCCATCCCTGGAAGTGCTTATGGTCAGGTTGCACAGGGTTTTAACCAATCTGATCCAGTGGAAGGTGGAAAGGACATGAGAACCGGACAACTTTTAAAGTCCTCTCCAACCCAAACTATGATTCTACAATCCTATGACTACATCTTTCAGATCGTTGCATCTTTTCTGACATACTCTCCAAGCCATCTGCTGGTCTAATGTCTGTTTTGAAATAGATCTCAGAGCCGATGGATATGCCATGAAAAGCCTGGAAGCAGAAAAACGTCCTTTGATGTATCTGGACCTCAAAGCATTTCTTCAAAATGTGAAGAATAAACAACACACAAACATTCAGGCTTCAAGGTGATCTCAGTATTTCCAAAAACCAGTGTCACATTAGACCAGGGATTTAATTATTTTGACATGATGACACTTGATACTGTGAGCAGATGTTAAATGAGTTAAATGTTCTTTTCTCTTTGTCCTTTCTTGTTTTCTCCTAATTCTGTAAGAAAATTCAAAATAAAGTAAATTGATTATTTTTTGTTTCTCTGATGTCATCATTCTCAGAGGAATGATAATGACCCTGAAAATACATCATTTCTTTAAAAGCAAAATAATACACATGCTATTTTTCACATTTTCATCTTTTTAGCATTTGATTCCAATTGAGTACTGATTTTCTAATTATCATATATTATCCCTGTAATCTTCTGAGAAAAAGATTAACCTCAATGAATCTACCAATGTCAGTAATAGTTATTACAATTGTCATCTTATTTAGTAGTAGCAGTTTTTTAATCCATCGCCTACTGAATTTGATTATGTATCCACTTTTTTCTCTTACTTGTATTATCAATTGTCTTCCAAGAAAAGTAGTCAAATATTATGCAGAAACATGCAAACAAACAAAAATGTTGTAGCTGTGTAAAAAATAGTTCAAAATCTATAATAGTTCAAAATAAATCAAAATTGAAGCTGAAAAAAATATAGATATAGAAGGTGGCATATTATGTCTGTGTGAGCAATACAGAAATTAAAAGTAAACAGTCAAAGGAAAGTGACTACATCAAAAGAAATCACTTTTTCCATCCTCAGAATGAACTCAGCTGCTAATTAAATTTTTATAACCAAAATTCATATGAGAACAATTCTCCTCTTTATTTGAAGCACTGTGGATGGGCGACTGGGTACAAGATTTCCACTAGCTTGAAGGCAATTCCCTTTGTACTCTATTAAACAATCATGAGGACATACTAGTTTCTAAGCTGCCTGACACTTAGTGATTTATGTTCCTTCAATCTAACCAGAAGTTCAGTCTATTACTATTCATAAGCTAACACAAGCTTGTTTAAATGATTAGATGTTGTTAGAAATGGATGTGGCCTTTGGATAAAGAAAGCTAATTTCTAGACATTTTCTGTTATAGCTGAAATTAGAAACTCAATGATATAGTGCTCACTGGTAGCAGGTATACATAGGAAGCTTCGTAAGTTGCCTAAGTAGATAAAAATGCACTATTAGCTTCCTGCCTTTACATTTTCTGCACATTTACATATTTACTCAGCATTTTTAACAGTTTATTAAACATGGTTTTGAATAGGTCGGTCTGATAGCATATACTGAAGGCATAAAGAACTTCCATTAACTTCAAGAGCCTTTTAATGTCACTTTCAAAGGAAAGTAAGAGAAACCAATGGTAATAAGATGAAAAACCTCAGTGATGAACACATACCCAAGTGCCTGAAGTTGCTTTGGGCATCCCAGCTTACTGCCTAAAAGACTACACTAAATAAAAATTGCCTTTTTTTCTAAGGACACAAGCGCACTTTCAAATTACACTACCCAGATTTTCATTTAACATATAGCCCTGTAAGATAATTTCTATGCAAGTACCACACCACAGACTGATCAAGGTACAATTCAGTGGTAGTGAATGAATCAAACATTGAACGCCCTGTGTGAATCAAACCTATGATCTGTGCTTCCACCATGCTCTTCATCTCCCATAAAGGCAAACTATTGCTTAGCACCTTACCTTAGCACTTCAAATGCCTCCTGTAGCAGCTACCATCCACAAAAAGTAATGACATTTGGAAGTTGCTAAGAACAGTCAGATCAATAAGCAGCACTGCATTGGCAAAGCTGGTAATGTAGAAACCTTTAAATGTTGCAGCACAAATGTTCCCAATATACCAACAAGAACAGGATAGATGGGCCCACCATTAGGATTATATTGTAGGCATGATAAAGCATGGGAAGAGAACAAACACGACGCTGGTACTCGGATATCAGGACTTTGATATCAGATAACTGATTACCAGTTCTCTGACAAGCAGATCTGATCCTAATTTTTTTTTTTTTTTTTTTTTTTTAAATCCCGTTTGTCATCTGAGCAAGCAGAGAAGCAAAGGTGCAGGGTGTTCATCAACTCCCCTTATAAATCACAGTCAAGGACTTGTGAAAATGAATTTGGGTCTGACCATCATTTCCAAACTCCCCCACAAAACAAATTAGCAACGATTGTGCTGCTTGAGCCGCATCACAGACTTCCTTTCATGAATGCTTTTCTCTGAGAACATTTCCCAAAACATGTCTCAGATCCAGTAATAAAAGCTTTTACCATGTACATGCCAACTTAAATCGTGCAATCAGTTGTCCTGAAGTTAAAGCTGCACAGCTGCAAGTGGCATCAGCAAGACAGAAGTTGGGAGGGCTCCGTACAGCTTCTCCTAATTACAGTAGTATATGCACAATACATAACTCATTGAAACATTCTCACAAATGAAACTCACTGAAACTAAACTGCAGCCCCAAAGTCGCTAAAGAAGTGCCATGAAGTACAGCACAGCATAGGGCACAACAGCTGTGAAGGAATTCCTGCAGGGAGTACAAGTACACAACCTAGGTTGAACAGAAAGCTGTCACTGTTTACACTAGTTGGGTGTATCACTCTGAATGCTGCTTTTGCACATTGTCTGCTCACATCTGGACCTGAGATTTTAACTGATCTGCTCTTACCTGACACACACTAGTAGCTGGAAAAACATTTGTATCTTGTTATCTTGAAGAAAAAAAAAAAAAAAAAAAAAAAAAAAATCTCCCCAAATCCCCCTCCCAAAAAACACCCTGAGAATAACCACTCTTGTTCCTTCTCGATATTATTAAAGAAAAATTAGAACTTTTTAGTGGACTCTTCCAAAGAAAGAGAAAATATTAAAAGCTTGACACAGTCTGTGGCTGGAGTGCAAAATCAAATACTGCTGCTTACATGCATTAGTGTATATACTTGGGAAACAAAATTAATGTTTTTATTGATTCTTCATAAACTTTGATGGAAACCTGTTATGTTACCCGTCATATTGTAACTGCACTGAGCCATTTTCAGCAATTTACACTTGCACTGAGAAGCAATAAGGAAGCAGCTCTACCAATAAAAGGTAAGTTTCACATTACCTTTTTGAGCACTAAAACGCCATTCTGTACTTCCCAATACAAGGCCATACAGTATATGCACCTGTCACTTTTGATTAACATTCTATAATCCTAATATGAAGCTTTATTGGGTTTCAATGTCCTGCAGTATACAGGGTAGACAATATGCACCAGAAATGCCATAAAAATAATTCAGTGGCAGTCTTTGTTGCTACAGAAGTGGGAGGATCTGCTGCCTTC